ATATCCGGATGATATGTCGGAACCTTCATGACGCAGGAATTCCGTAATTACGTCGTTACGATTCCTCTGAATCAGGCATGCAGAATGATCTAAACCTGCATTGTCCAGTTTTACTTTCGAATGACCATAACTTTTCACGCCCATAAAGTTTATGTTCCAATCAGAGAAACTAGTCAAGTGAGTCCACCAAGCAGCCCTCCGTTATAACCTTGTCCCTAAGCCCTTGAGAATGAGATAATGGCAACCATAACTTCATTTCGTCACACTTTCAGATGATGGATCGCGACCTCGTACTTCGTCAGCTACAGTATTCTGGAATGATGGAAACGATCAAAATTCGACGCAATGGCTATCCGATTCGTCATGATTTCGAACCATTTGTTAGGCGATATCGTGTGCTTGTGAATGGAATTGGTAAGTTCACAGATAACATATTGGGAGATAAACTTGAAGAAAAAATTTAGGAGCTCCAAATCCGAAAAATGCTCGTGATGCTGCTGAACAAATTTGTCAGAAAGTGTTGGGTCCAAATTCGCAATATCAGCTAGGAAAAACCAAAGTTTTTCTCAAAGAAAGGCATGATCTTTTCCTCGAGCAGGTAATTTACTTCCATTGATTTTAAATATATTTTGAGATTACAAAGAGGTCGAGGAACCTTGAAATAGTTTCCTCTTCTGTAACATTTTCATATCCCTCCCAATGAATGAGAAACGGAGTTACAAAGAAAATAAATGAAAAACTTAAAAAATTATGTTAGTTCAAGATAAATTCATTGAAAATCCAAATATCGGTTGTACACTGATTTATAGTATAAATAATATCAATGAAAAGGTTTTTGAATTCCTTACCAAATATAGAATGTTGCTAAAAGTGAGAAAAATGTGCAGAACGACTTATCAGTGTATGAATTTGGGTAGCAAAAATTAGAAAATAAGTAATTTCAGCAATTTTGAACATGTAATTTGCTACAAATGGTTTTCGAGTTATTTAGGGCCTCAAATTTCGTTTTTTTTTTCAATTTCAAAAATCTTGCAAGGGCAGAAGTAAGTACTGATAGAAATAGCCAGTTCAAAACAACGAGATCTGGCTAAACATTATTTCTTTACCCTACCACTGTGCTATAGTAACCCACTTCCTTTCAGGAATACCACCGTATGCTTGATTATCGAGCCGTCATGATCCAGAAGAACGTTCGAGGATGGCTTGCAAGGCGCTCTTTCGTCAAAAAGAAGGAAGCAGCTACCGTAATCCAGAAACATTGGAAACGCTACGACCAGCAAAAGCGTTACAATCAGGTATGAGCTAACTGTTCACTGCTATCTCGGATCCTAATACCATAAAAGTTTATAGATTGTGGCTGGCTTCTGCCGCTTGCAAGCTGTTCTTCGCTCGCGACAACTCGTCCTACACTATCAAACCCTACGGCGCAGTATTATCAATTTCCAGGTAAGCATATTTTTACCGTTCAGCTCAAGTAGATGAAATACTCTTTCCAGGCTGCATGTCGTGGAGCTCTTATTCGTGCGAAGATAAGAGAGCTTAAGAAGAAAGGTCAGAAGAAAATTATCCCTGTGGAAGAACCGAAGGAGGAAGTGAAAGACGACATCAAGGAAGAAGAACTGGTGGGCATTAAATCTTTGATTTTAAAATTTTGTCGAATCAGCTATGTTAGTAATATATCACAAAGCTTTGCAGATGTTAATCCTGAATGGAAAGAATACAAAGGTAAAGCATGATTTGCAGTGTGTTCAGCATGATTTTGAAAGTCAAGTGTATGTGACAAGTGTAAATGCTAAAAAGGCTCTGAACCATTGCTTGCGTTTCGTGGTCCAGCAACTGATTGTCACAAAATGATTTCCATGAGATTTGA